AGTCACCACCTGTTTATGAAAGCAACAAATCCCCCCTCCGCTGTCTGACTATAGTTTTAAAACTTCTTCTGTGCCAGGATTCCAGTTAATCTATGTCAGTAAGTTTGGTTGTGATTTCTTATTCATGCTTCTAGTGCAGTTAACACCACTACTACTACTACTAAGTCAGATGTACTGTATAGCACTATTGGTGTACTGAATGGTGGAATACAGTATTGAGGTCGTACAGTTTTAAGCTGCTTTACTCGAGTATTTCCATTTTATACCACTTTACACTTCTACCCCACTTTCTTTGCACATTCAGATATTATGTACAACACATTTGATTATCTTATAAAATATGATGCATTTAATATATAGTGTAGAGAGAGAGCTTAAACCACCAAACAATATAAAGTGGTTAAAATAAGCAGTAAAATGTAACTTACACATTAAAGCACCAGTAATAATAAGAATCTGTTTTAACTACTATAACTTGACTATTATATACAATTTATTCCATATAGTCTATTATAACATTTACAGAGGCCATTTTTGTGCATAACAAGTACATTTATTTTTTGATACTTTAACTAATTGAGTTGATAATACTGTACTTTTACTTGTTGTTGAGTATTCTTAAATTGTGGTCTGATCCTTTCTCAACAGAAAATCACAACTCAAGGTCCATTTTCTTACTTTTAACAGATATTTCAACTGTATCCTATTCAGCAGATGGAGTTTGTTCAGTTGTCACAGAGATGGATCTACTGACATGTGAGCTCAGTAGTAAATTTTATCCATAAAACTTACAGGACTTCCTGTTATTTTTGGCAGAAAAGTTAAGTATGAAAGTTCATTCTTGATCTTGGAAATAGTAGCTTGACAAAACAATCCTAACTCAAGAAAATATGTTACTTGAGTGATGTTTTCGCAGACATTTATGGTTTGAAAATTGATCTTTCGAATAGTCTGATCGAAACCTGTAGTTAAACAAATACTCTGAAGACACGTCCCTGCTGTATTCATTCCCTGTAACTCTATAGACACAGAGCATATAACTACCCCCCTCAAGCCCTCCATGCCAGAACAAGGTATAGAATAACAAAGAGGAAAGTAACTGGGGGCACTATAAGTGTTCTGAAATAGGAGACAGATTTCCGCAAGCAAATCCAGGTGGTCTGCTGTCCCACGTCCTCTGTTACTCGTGAAAAGCCACTTTTTTCACTGCCACTGCTGCATTCATATGGAGGACATAAACTGCACTGGAGCCCATCACACCAGACCCAGATTGATTCAGTATGTGACTCTGAATGTGATTTGAACATGCCTGTGGAGCTGATGAAGGTGCTGAGGGCTCCTGTAGTGGTGGCAGAGTTGGTGACTGTAAAGCACCTCAGCTCTCACACTGCTGCCCTCACTCCAAATGTGCTGTTGTACATGTGTCTGCATTACATGTGGGAATGATCTCCGAGAAAGCACTCTGTAAATATGCAGTCAATCAATCAATCAATCAATCAGTCAGTCAGTAACGAGCACATGTAAATAACAGCCATCAATATTACTGTTTCACTGAACACTGCTCTTTGTACAACCTGATTAACGCTCGGTAAGAATAACAGGACCGATATGAATGTCCTTGCCCTGGCTGTAACCCGAGAGCCTAGAGGTGGTACTGCGGGAACGCCGGGGGCCCTCTGAGTGAAAAGGGTCCAGTCAGGCTTGGCCTGAGCCATACAGACCACTACTCACTCCATCCACAGACCCTCACAGCAGGATCCAGCCATCTGGACTCATTTCTGCTCTGACAGGGTAGCTCTCAAGGCCCATCTGTATGAGGGCTACATTCACAGTGGGCCCCAGGAATGTGAGCTCGTCTGGGAGGGAGCTGAGTAGATTTAAGGGATGACGGCACAACGCGATATATCTTTTCACCCTGTACACTGGAGCATGTCATTTCATCAACATCTGTATTTCATTTTTATTGGCCTGGTCAATCTTGGGTTCAGTCAGTTTGGTTTTATTATTGCTTGTTGTTGAGTCATTTAGGCTACAAACACATGAAAGACATGAAATATGTCCAATAATTCTCTACTTCCCTTAAAATCTCAGTCCTATAATTCAGGTTGTTATTTAATTGTTTTCATTCCACAATAGTTGAAAACAGATGATTATAGGGATTTGTCTTGCTGAGTTATTTGTGTTTGCAGAAATGGGGTGTCCTGGAGGCTTAGTGATGCATAATGTATAACTATCAGCAGTTCAATTTCAGCCAGCGATTTTTGTTGCATATAGCCCTCTCTCCTCATTTTTCCTGTCTATATCTTCACTGTCAGTCTAT